GAAGGCAGTCTCCAAATTCACCGAAGGTTGTTTACTGGTTATATTGTGGTCGTGTGGGCAGGTTATACTTTTTGCTGCCGGGTCTGTACTTACCCGAAGCCCGGGAGGCCGAACTCTTTTAAATAAAAACTATGACAATTAAAAACACAGTATACCAGTAGAAAAGGTTTTTGTTTTTGTAGCTGTTTCGTGGTGAAAGTCCTTTATGGGGACCAAATTTCCCCACAAGAAATTGAGCGCATGGTTGCTTTTGCGTCCCAAAAGAATGAATATAAGAAAACATTAAAAAAAAGTCTAAGGTAATACAATTATATTCAACTAAAAATAATCACAATAATTTGCACTTATGAGTTAATGTGATAATCATGTGTAAAAACTCTTTGCAACTATTATTTATCACAAAATAATTTTGCGGATCAGATTGCTCTGAGCGCTTGTGTGGTTTACCAAGAAAATGCAGCCCTGTTGGTTTTCATTTCTGTATCGCATCGCGGTGAGTTTCTATTTCTTGGTAATTCGGTTTGTGAAATGGTAAACAATTTATTGAAATTTATTTGTTTGATGTGTATAACATTTCATTAATGCAATTTTCTGCCTTTTCCGACTATTAATTACAAGCACAGCATCATCATGGTGATTGCAAGAACTACTGCAATCCCTGCGGTTTTTCCTCTTGGTAAATGCGTTCTGGTCGTGACCAAGGGTGGTCTCCCAAATCGGCCGGGAATAAGGTTAGTCATTTTAAATTTTATATCTTTGTTCGTCGACATTATATGACATGTCATCATTGCAGGCTATTGTTGCAGAACAAAACGCCGCAACCACTGCTGTGGTAAATATGTTCCAGCAGAACTGCCCACCGCCGTCGGTGTAATGATTTCGATAGCTGAACAAACGCCATCTTCTGGGCATTCCCACAGCTTGCCGACACTAGCTATTACATCACGTGTGAATGCAACTGCGGCTAAATTTGGTTATTAACAGTGCAATAGTACCATATCATTGGCAAAAACAATAAGGGCTGCTGGCACATACGAGGTTGTAAAGTTTTTGGTATCGATGAACTTACTCGAAGAAGACGATG